TGTTGACAATCACAGTTGTTATCACAGAGACGGTCATGACCAGTTGTTTCTTACGAAAATATTGAGATTGTCTGAATACCGTAATATGTTCTTGCAATGGTTTGCCGTTTGCCTTAACTTTTCCTTTACAATTCGGCAACCCCATTACACACCTAGGGCTTTCCTAGTACAAGGTCGTTGCTGCTTTTGTTCATTTACAATGAGAGCGCTTATTTAAAAAGAAAATGTCATTCCTGCCCTCCCCTTGCCTGAGATAATGCCTTTTTCGTTAGGGTCAGGAGGTGTTGGTAGATGTGCCAGTCTGTTGCTGTGGGGCAGTAGCAGGCACCTTGCCTGGACCCTGCGGGCTCCTCTCCACGCGCACCGGCCGGGGCAGGATGGCCCATCATGCTGCAGGGCACGGCAGCACGGAGCTCCCAGCTCTTCTCCGAGTCTGGCCTTGAACATCAGGGCCGGGTAAGATGTGACAGCTTTTAAAACGCAGCATCTTCCTTCATTTGCTGTCTATAGAAAGGAAAGCCATGCCACTCAGAGGGCGGCCATCCCCACGGCACTGCGCGGCGGGCGTGCTTCCTTGGCTTGGGTGCCATCTGTGCACTTGGCCCATAGCGTTCTCACCCCAGCTGTGCCCGCGCCGGCCCTGCACCAGGTCACCAGGAGACGGCAGTGGAAACTGCCCTCGACCTCAGAGAGTGTACACCCGAGCCCGTCACCAGTGGCCGTGCCAGATCTGGAGTCCGAACACCTGCTGGCTGGCGGAGCACCCAGGCCGGCCCCTCGTTCTGTGCTTTGTGAGTGGGACCCTGGAATTACGCTTCTCCCGAAGGTTTCTCCCTACCGCAGTGGGAAGCTTGTTGAACGGCGTCAAAGGCTCGACACATTATCTCTGGTGTAAACCAAACATCGTAGAAGACCAACAGGCAGAGTTCAAAGAAGTCTCGATTCACTTTTGTCTGGCTTAGTGTGTTTGTGTCACCCTGTCCTGGCATAGACAGGATCCTGAAAAAGGAGCTCTCTGGGCTGAGGTCAGTCGAGTTCAGGGTCACCTGTGAACATGACCGTTTCATGACCTTGTTTTGAACAGGCAACCTCAAAGCTTCCTTTTACCTGTTCCTTTTAATCGTGGCTTTCCAAAGTCCTTCTGTGTAAAATATGCAGCAAAGTTCTCTTCTGATTCTGCTTAATCCTGTTTTGAGAGATTTTAGCAAAGTAGGGATTATTTGCTTCCTGTTTAAAAGAAAACCATAGACATAACCATTATAAAACGCTGCTGTTTATTTCCGGTGTGCAGAGAGCGTCACGTTTTGATCGTTTCCGTGACTAACTTATCTGGATACACAAACAACTTGCATCCCTATTTTACTTTGCAATTGAGAGGGGAAACTCAACAACCTGGTAGAAATAAATTGCTTATAAAACTCATTAACCCAAAATTTGTGAATATTTTCTGTTAAAAACCTGTTGTTATTGATGCCTGCTGAGCACAGGGATGAATTCTTTATTGGTGAAGTCCTGGCTCTTTCAGGTAAGAGCAAAAATATTTAACCAAATTTACATCAGATAGTTTTCTTTGGTTTGGTAAAAAGCGATTAGATTCTTCAATTAGAAGGAAATTAAATTAATAGTTTTATTTAATTAAAATATTACTATTAAAGTTTTCAGTTAAGATAGATTTTCCCATGAGATCAATAGAAGGTACTCAAGATCAATAGAAAGTGATCAAGTAGAAAAGTACTATGATCCAGAATATCATGACACCACTTCATACCCACTGAGATGGCTGTCACAATTTAAAAAAAAAAACAAAATAAATATTGGCCAGAGAATTGCAATACTTTTCTGCTGTTGACTGGAATGTAAAATGGTTCAGTCACAGTGGAAAACAGTCTGGTGCTTCCTCCGTAAGTTAAACACAGAACCGCCGTGTGCCCCGTGAATTCTGCTCCTGCGTATTTACCCCAAAGACTTGAAAACAGGTGTTCCAACAAAAAGATGCGAATGTTCAAAACAGCATTACTCACAGTGGCCAAAAGATGGAAAACCCAGTGTCCACCAACAGGTGAATGGACAAGCTGTGGTCTATCCGTCCACGGGAATATAATTTGGCCGCAGAAAGGAACGGCGCTCTGATCCATGCCATGGCGTAGCTGAGCCTCGAGGACATCGCGCGAGTGGACGGGTCAGGCACGAAAGGCCACAGACTGTAGGATTCCATTTCCGTGGAGCGTCCAGGACAGGCAGATCCACAGAGACAGGGCGTAGAGTGAAAGTTCTGGGGGTGGGACGGGATGGAAATGGGGCGTGACTGCTTAGTGGGCACCGGGTTTCCTTTTGGGGTGATGGAAACGTCTGGAACTACACAGAGGTGAAGGTTGCACAACTTTGAGAAGGTATTAAATTGTTCACTTTAAAATGGTTAGAATGATAAATTGTGTTACACATGGCTGTACCATGATAAAAAATACTTTGCTTATATTTTGAGGATTTAACATCCAAACAGTTCGCAGTAAAGTGTCCAAAGAAAAATCTCAAAAGACCCCTGAACCATTAGGGACCTGCTCAGTTTTAACTTAACCACAAGCATCACACGGAGTAAAAACACAGCGAGGGAAGAAATTTATCTCCTGTAAGTGAAGTTTCAAGCGGCAGATGTTGAACCTTTCTGTTCCATTCTTTCGAAAGTGATTAACAATTAGGAAGTTGGAAATAACACAATTCGAGGGTGTGTGAAATATTCTGATTTTTATAAAGAGGACGTCTAATCGAGACTCAGCGTGCACACAGCACACAATGGTTTGCCGTGGCAGTGAGCACAGAGGAGGGGTCCCTGTCATGCTGCGAATTCCCGGTGGTCTTCCGCCGCTCGACGGGCTGGATCCGGGTGGCCACTGCTCAGACTTCTAGTAGTAAAGCTCTTGTACCTGATTTAACACGAAGTATCTGGAGTGAGGAATAACAAATAGGTAGAATGAGCCGTAACAGGAGGTTCGCTGTCTCGCCTTTGTGTTCAATAAGGTGACCGCAGACCGGCCTGGGGGAGACTTACACAGGCTCCGCGCTCCACGCCGCCGAGTCCTGACTGTCTCCTAAGACTAAGTTGTCTGCAGTAGGCTAGACGTGTACTTGGAATTTAATATTCTGTTAAACCAAGGGCTGCGTGTTTGAGAACTATCTGATCAGCGGCAAATGTGAGGTCTTTAAAAAAGCCCGAGCGGGGAACAAAGCCCACATGTTGTTTGGAAAAACGTACGCTTTTCTGGCACGATCCGTGGTAGCTCAAATATTAGAAAAAATTTATAGCTCCGCCCCTGCCCTGAACCCTTGCAAGCTGGAACCCGTATCACTTCTCCTTTTAGACAGTCAGACCACGGGTTGGACTAAGGGAAAAAAAACAAAACAGAAGTCCAGCGAGGCAGCGTTTCCCCTCAGCTGAAACACAGGCTGCATTGAAACCACACGCCGCTGAGTGCCGGCCAGCCGGGCCGAAATGCAGCCGAGACAGAGGGCACAGAGCCGGGATGAAGGAGCGCGATCCGGATGCACAGGCCCCTCGGGCCCCGCGCCGCGTGCCGCCCGGAGGTTCTGCAAACGCCCAGGATAACTCGTGCGAATGCCTCAAAGGACGTTCAGCGCGGAGCCCACGCTCAGCACACTGTGGCCGTTGGAGCCACCACAGAGCCGCCGGCGCCCGTGAGCGCTGCCCAGCTCGGCGTTCTGTCCTAGCAGCGGCTTGTAACCACCAGGGACTCGGAAAGTCACCGTCTGGAGATTGCGGAAGTGCCTTCCGGAGTCAAGGGGGACTGTGAGCTCTCAAGACCGAGGTGCTCGTAATGTAAGTCTGGAAACACTGGAAAAACTGGGAAGGCCGTTCTTCTCAAGTTTTAGAATTCAAGGGAACGACACCGCACAATGATCCAAAGCAGTAAAGCCCGTGCTCGCGGCGGTGCTCCTGGCGTCGACAAACGTCGCCGACTTTCTTCCCGGGCGGTGGGAAGCCCAGGAGGGCCCGGGCGGAGGGCACTCACTGACCCGGGGCTCACAGCTCATGCCCGGAGTCTGACAGGAGCATCGGCGACAGGCTCCGTGGGCCTCAGATGCTGTGTCGGTCCTGGTTGTGCGATTCCAGGAAAACCGTGGATCTCGCACTGCTGGTCTCCTTGTCTCTACTTCCTGAGCAGCGTTTTCCAGAGTGAGAGCAGACGTGCTTGTACGTCTCTAGACTTTTCCATCTTTACCAGTTTATTGAGTCCCCGGGGATGTCGGCCTAAGTAGCAGCAGCAGCATAGCGTTAATATCAAATTGTACTTTGCAGTAATTTTAACATGGATCTGTGAGCAGTCGGGGAGGGAGGAGGTGTTCTGAGGATGTCTGACCTGTTATCCGCTTGGTCGTCAGACTTTCCCTGTGACACTGGAAGGGGCAGGAGCTTACTATCCACTTTGAGATCCCGGGAAACTGAGAAACAGAGAGCGGCGATGCCCCACGGGTTCCTGGCAAAGGTGGCCTCAGCGTGGGCAGGTGCCCTGGCGCAGGTGTGCGTGGAAGGCCCCCGCGAGGTGTCCCAAAACCCCTCCCCCAGTCCCTTCCGTTTGGTCTGGTTTTAACAGTGGCATCTGGACCTGCCCCAGCTCTGTGTCTGGACTTGATCCTGGCGTGCTCAGACGGGTGTCTGTGGACCGGCAGAGCCCGCCCATGCCTGGCCGGACAGACGGCGTTTCTCCCTTGCCAGGGCCCATCCCTCTCCCCAGGGACCAGCTGAGCCTCAGTCTCCCTACTCATCCCCTTTGGAAAATGATCTGCTCTTCCCTCCCAAGCCCGTCTCCAGGGTAGGAACAGGGCTGCCCGCCTGCGGCTCCTGCTCTCCTTGCTGGGGGCTGCGTTGCCTGCAAAACCCCTTCCGGCCTCGAGGTTCTCGACGCGTCTGTGACTCATGCATCTTCCGGAACTCTGTGCCCTGTCTTCTCACAGTTGCATAACCTCTGCCCTCCGCTTCCCCGCAGACATGTCCAGGTGTGTGGCCGAACGGAAGTACACCCAGGAGCAAGCCCGGAAGGAGTTCCAGCAAGTGTTCATTCCTGAGTGCAATGAGGACGGCACCTACAGCCAGGTTACCCGCCGCGCTGGGGAGGAGGGTGCGGGCCGGGGGGACGGGGAAGGAGCAGGGCTGTTCTGGGGGAAATCGCCTTCTGTATTTTAGAGGCTAGTTCATAACGAGCCCGTTGGCGTAAACAGACGTGCAAGTAAACGTCCGTGCCGCCTCCTCAGCCGGCTCCGGCACTCCCGCCACTGCTGCCGTGCGCACCTTCCCGCTCTGAATTCCCCGCGGCAGCTTCCTCCTGAGGCTCATTAGGCCTCGCTGACCTGCTCGCTGCTGAGAGTTTAATGTGGGCTTAGCCGTAACGACAGGGGCTCACCGGAAGTCGCACGGCACCTATGCTGGGAGTGAGCTCCCCGACTGTTCAGTCCGAGCCACCGGCTTCGCAGGCGGAAGCTGAGCCGAGTCAGTTCACGCTCAGACGCGCGGCCGACGGCGCTGTCGAGAGCACAACCCAATTCTTTATTCCGATGTGTCAATACTGTTATTCTTTATTAAGGAAAAAAATCCCTCAAATACAGTGCCAGCTAACACATGGCAGGAAAACAAAAGCGCATCTGCCATTTACCACACCTGTGAGCCGACAGGTAATGATGCGAGCTCTGTGTCTCTGCAATGGCCATTTGACCCTTCAAAGACAGCGCAGGCGAGAACAAGAGACTAAGCAGAGCAGTCGGCGCCAGGGAAGCGTCTGGTTCTCGCTGGTGGTGTCTGGGGTGGAGGTGGGGTGCGTCCTGCTGGTGGCCGGACTCCAGACCCCTCCTGCTGGCCCTGCCAGGGACCGACGGGGGCGCTGAGCAAAGTCTCCTGACCGCTTTGGGCCTCGGTGTCCCCATTCGTAGGGTGAGAGCTTGGGCTCCGCCTCTAAGGTTGCAAGCCTTGGATGCTTCACTCTCCCCACCACGTGCCAGCAGCTCCGACAGCTCGTCTGTGGAACCCTGTGGTCTAGGGCAGCCCCTCGGCCCCACTGCGTATGCAAAGTGGCATAAGGGGCACTGGGTGCACCAGTTCCTGTCTGAGACGGTGCCGTGGGGGTCAGAGTCGGCCTCAGACTGGAAGGTGCTCCGTGTGCCAACCCCGGGAGAGCTCACCCTGCCCTGTCCCCTCCCGCAGGTCCAGTGTCACAGCTACACGGGATACTGCTGGTGCGTCACGCCCAACGGAAGGCCCATCAGTGGCACGGCCGTGGCCCACAAGACACCCAGGTGCCCGGGTAGGTCTGACCTGACTTCCAGCGGGAAACGTCCACGGGCATTAGTGTGCCGTGTCTTCCCGGCATCTTGCCTGCGCTGATCCGTAATCGGAAGGAGATCCAGTTTGGGTGGATTGTCGGCAGCCATGGGTTTGGGTCACTGGACAGGGCCTAAGATGTTTGCGACATGAGTTTTTGTTTCTGAGCGGAGAAAAGCAAAGGCGCGTGTGCGCACAGGTGGGACGAGGTCAGCTCAGCGAGACACCCAGGTCTGAATCGCGGGAAGTGAGATTCAGGATCTTAAATTTAAAAATTACCCAAGTCACCAGTGGAAATGACCAACTGTTTTCTTTGGCCAAAAAAGTGAAAATGTCTGGTTTCACGTGTATGTTTTCAAAGAAAAAGTGGATCATTCTTCACCGGTCAGTATCCAAATGGTTTATTTGTGTCGTTTTGTTACTCAGAAGAGGGCTTGATGTACTGAAAGTAATGAAATTAGCAGGATAAAAATCTACAAAATGTTCTCTGTTCCATTACCATTTTATTGAAAATGCTATAGATGATTCATATCACTTTCATCTGAAAATAATCTGCAGCCCAAGTTTGATTAACTCGGGGAGAGTTACCCAGACTGTGGACCGTCTGTCAAGAAATTTCATGATCATCCATCCAAATTCCTCGATTATACAGACGAGGATAGGTAACGCATGTCATTATATTAATATCACAGCTAAAGTGCAAAACACTGTTCCTAGTTTTTCATGGAAAATATTGAAACATTTCCATTTAGAGTTTACCTTTAGACTCATTTTCTCTTCCAGTGGCAGGCATCGTATAACTGGGAATTCTGTTCGTAATTGAGACATCACGAACATCCCAGAGCCCAGGCACAGGTTAGACTCAGGGCTGTCTACCGCCTCTGTGAGAATGATGGGATTTGCAATTCACAATAACATGAAGCCGGATGTTTCAAGTGACTGGTCATTACCGAAACGCCTTGGGGCGTGCATCTTGTGGAACTAAAAATATGTTTATTTTTAAAAAACTGTTCTATAATCTAGGGCCTAAAAATTGCTGAAAATATATTTTTCTAAGCTAACATTCACATCTAATAGTTCTTTTACAAATTCGTGGGGGAAGAGAGAAAGAGAAGGGACATGGTGAAGTTGTCCGCAGCGTTTGCCGCTCTCCCTGGAAGACGCGCTCACGCGCTGTTTCGTTCCTTCCGTGCAGCGGGCTGCCGAGCTGAGCCTTGTGTGATGAAGGAGAAAGCAGCGTGGATATCTATTTTCGTGATTTTAGTGATACCATCTGAAAAATTAAGAAGTGTCCAAAAGAACTTTCTTAGAAAAAACCATGTGCAAAATCGGTTGAATTTCGTGCCGTCTCCAAATATTGCTTTGTCTCTGGAATCAGTGAACTGTTCACTTGCGTTATTTTTTCCAACCAGGTATCGGCAACATTTCCCTATATAGAAACGGTCCATTTTTTTTTCACCACTCATGTTGATTTTTGGTTCAAGGAGTGGATCAGGGAAGAAAGAGTGTCCTGTTCTTTTACTTAAACTCTGGTACGTATTGTGTGGAAGATGCTACTGAGTAGGAAGCCGAGTGTTCCGGATTAAACGTGCTGATTTAGGGCGGCAGTCTCCCCGGGAAGAACGCATTGCAGGCAGCAGAGTTTCCAGTCCGCGGTGTGGCCCTGGCTACACCCTGGACGCCGGCTTGGCAGGTGTCGCCTCGCACCTGCTCACCTGGTTGCTGTGGTAATACGCTCCGCATCTCCCACAGAGGGACGGAAAACTCTCTGATCTGCAGCTGCCGTCTGTGGTTTATTCTGCGCACACGTGGGCGTCGGGGAGCAGGTGTCAGTGCTAGGAACACTTTCTGAAACTTCGTGGATCCGTGGTGAGTCACTGAGGAAGTCTGAAATTTAAGGGAGAGTCAGGGGAGGGCCGAGTGTGCATCCTCCTCCGCTGTCGTGAGGAACCTACAGCCTTTTCACGGTGTAATTTAACTCCTTGCAGATGTTGACACGACCCTCACAAATAATGCAGAAAAGCAGGACATGGGGCACCACTTTGCCTGAGATCGTGACTAGTCCCGTGGGCCCCAGCTGGCCACAGCTGCTATCCGCAAACACCGGGGAGCTCAGTCTCTGGGCACATCCTCAGTAGCTCACTGAAAACTCAGCTGGTGTGCAGAACGGCTAGAATGCATAGCTACCCTCCGTGAAGGATGGGAGCGACTTTTGTCAAGTTTAGTAAAATTGAGTCGACTTCAGTGTTCGACGAGTATCTTTGGCCCTCAAGTTCACACCACGCTTACCATGTAAGTGCACTCTACGAAAATATAAAATCTGAAAACAAGATTGAAAATGAGCGCTAGTAACTGCCACGCAGAAGGTGCACCTGCGTGTTTGTTAGCAACACGGGCGAGCACCCCGGGTGGGCCGCGTGGGAGGGAAATGAGATTCGTGAGAGGGTGAGATTCCCGTGCAATGGGGAGAGGCCTTGACCCAAATCCTGCCGCCTCTCAGCTGTTGGAGAAAAACCTTTCAAAGGGGATAGATTCCTTTATTTCATAATTATGTATTTTTAAGCTATCAATGCAAAATAGCTAAATTCCTATCGATAGTAATAAAAATGAGATAATGGGCCAATCTTGCAGGAAAATGGTCAAAAGTCCTAAACAGGCAGCATTTTATAAAGAAGGAAGCGTAATGACCAGCAAAGCTAGTAAAAGCCGGTTTGCATCCTCGGCACCAGGGATGCAAAGTAAAGCTGCGCTACAATGCCCCCACGCCCACCTGCTCAGCGGGAATGACACGACCTGACTCTGAGGCTCCTGGGAAAGGACAGAGGACAGACTCCCATACATCGCTGGTGGGGTGTGCCCCAGCCCCACCCTGCAAAATCAGCTGCCACTCCACATGGGGGTGCCACTCCACCTGGGGGTGACTCAGGCCCGGCGACTCCACTCCAGGATGGAGCCTGGAGGACCGCACTGACCCGCGTAGCAGAGACACGCGGGAGTGTCCCCAGCAGCACTAGTGCAACAACCGAGTCCTGGAGACAGACCTATATCACCTGGTGTCTGGCTGGGGAAAGTGTTGCAGCTTACTGGGTTCATGCTGTAGAATAATCAACAACAATGCAAGTGCAGATACTGTCCCCCCCAGTGAGGCCATCCCCCCGGTGAGAGGGGCCACATGCAGAGACACGCACCCAACCACGAGTCTGTCCACGCTCAGAACAGACCAAGCTCAGCTCCAGCACTGGACCAAGTCCTGCAGTGGTCCACCACACAGACAGGACAGACAGGGGTGCGTGTCAGACACGGGGGGTACACCACACGGACAGACAGGGGTGCGTGTCACACAAGGGGGGTACACCACACGGACAGACAGATGCGTGTCACACACAGGGGGTTGGGCGCTGGCAGTGGAGGGGAATTCTGTGGTTGGAAAGGGGGCTGACCTGGGGACCCTCTTCCTGCCCTGAGTGCTGTTCTCACAGGTCACTGGGGTCACAGATGGATAGAGGTCCATGGTGGGTACATCTATGTTTTGTGAACTTTTATGTGTGGGTGTAAATATTTCAGAAATTAAAAATGTTCAAGCATGCAAATGCCACTGGAAGAGGTAACACCCTGGCCCGAGTTCCCTCTAAAGACACACATGTTTCTGGCGTCCTTTCCTGGGGATTCTTAGAGGGGAACCGGGCAAGCGCTCAGGACTGACAGCAGGAGGTGAGGACAGCGCACCCCGCGCCGCGGGGAAGGTGGGAGGGAGGGCACGGCGGAGACGCCAGAACTCATGTGTACGAGGGTGCTCGGGAGTGGTGGGGAGAGCGGGCTCTGTCAGTGTCCTGAACACCCGCTGTGATCACAGCTCCGGGGTCCGGGGGCCCCTGAGTCTGGCACCTAAGGGCAGCCTGGTCCGCGGTGCTGTGCCTGCTGTCACAGAGGTAGGACGGCTGTCCCAAGGCTGTCCTAGCTGCAGAGCTAGGACCTAAATCTGTGTCTTTGTTTGCATAACCCACATTTCCTCCTCCCTGAATACCATAATTTCTAAATTCGCTGGGCCTTGAATTCCTTATTTATAAGAAAAAATGAGTTTGAATATGGCCTTCCAATTGCACCTCCCACCTCTGAGGTTCTATGATGAGGCGGCACCTCTGCCCAGGTCCCGAATGCTGAGTGTCTGGGCAGCCCGACAAGCCGGCCTGGCCCCTCCGAGCCACGTTAAACCCTCGGTGAGTCTGAAAGACCGTCGACGTCCACAGGCTCTGATCAAGACAACCTGCTTCTTGGACGGCTGTCAACCTGGCGCTAATGCGCAGGCGGCACAGGTCTCGCAGCTAGCGAGGGACGCGCCCCCCCTTTCTTCCCAGCCACGCAACCTGTGGTCTCAGAGTGGAGATCGAGGCATGAGGGACAGAGATTTTAAGTAGAACGGGAAGTTTGGGGATGTCAAATCGTCCCTTTAACCTCGTCGACACCTGCTTTCTGATGACGTTGAGTTATGTAGCGACCGCGAGGTTCCTAAGAAAGCCGTCTCCTGCTCTAGCGACGGTCGTGCTGAGGTCCTGATGTCTGGTGCTCATGCAGCGTGCCCACACCTCACCTTCCCTCCCAAGGACCGCTCCCCATTCATTGTTAAGTGACAAGGTTACGCGTCAGCCGCACTCACTGGGTGTTTTCGGGCAAGCAGCCGCGTCTGCAGAGGGTTCTGGCACGAGCAGGCGCCACAGGGGTGGGGCGGGAGGGCTCGCCCTGCCCAGGGATACCCGAGCGGCATCGTGGGAGAGACGGTTCCTGAAAGCTAAGGATAAGCCGGCAGGAGGGGCAGCAGGGGCTGGTCCCCACCCTCATTCTCTGCCTCCTTCCCTTTGCTCCCGAGTCAGGTGCAGGAGAAGAAGAGCCAGGTGGGCACAGGCATTTTGGGGAGTCCTCTGGGGGAGGGATGAGGTCAATGGCAAACCACACGGAGCCTTCAGAAGCATTTAGCCCCTCAGAGCT